AGAGAGAGAGAGAGAGAGAGAGAGAGAGACTAATAATAATTCACAATTATTGCAAGAAATAAATTTTAAAAGCTTTTCTGTATTTGTAGTGCTTCGAGTTACACTGAATTTGAAATTACTTTGAAATCCATGCAGATTATAATTTTCAATTTTCGTTTAATTTATTAATTAAAAAGTTTGACTTATCCGTAACTATTAGACTGAATGAAATACTGATCGATTAAACCTTCTTTTCTCGTAAGCAAATGAAGTTTAGGTAGTTGAAGAAGAGTAAGATATCAGGACTCGAACGATTTCATCGACGTATGATCTAATCCCGTCGAAATACTGTATCTCTATACTGTTATTCGCGAAAAGTCCGTGGGCACGGTAGCCACGTACGCGAAAAAACCTTCAATTTGCATCGGCCGCCATTCTTCAGCTCCTTTGAATTCCGTCGCTATAGCGACCTTTGTCCGGATCGTGCCACAATGGCCACTATCTTCTCCCTCGGCTCTCCGCTTCTTCCTGGAGAAACCGTCGCAAACAAAGAATCCTCCCTGCACCCCCAGGAGAAAAAAGGCAAAAAGGCGAAAAAGGTCGATACACGAATAAGCGATGCGCCGCTTGGATAATCCGAGAAAAAAGACCGCGAAACGTGAACTCGCACTGTGCCGCACCAACCAACCCTTTCTCCCCACCCCATCCCTCTTCCTCCATCTCTTATACCGCCTCCTTCTCCAGCTCGCCCCCTTCGATCGTCCCGATACCAACTTATGTGTACATGTACAGGGTGAGTCCAAGTGTACCGCGTTTTTGGAAACGTGCCGGCCATTTTGTTCCCTCTTTCTCGAAAGAAAGGTCACTTTTCTTCGATCAGAGAAAAAAATTTCAACTATTTTTCACAGCATTAGAAGTTTTCTTGTTACGTCTTGTTAAACGTTGACGTATGGATCAACGTTTCTAGAATCAACCCTTTTCATACTGTAACATGTCGTAGTAATTGTCGTAATAATGCGTTTGTCTTTTTCATTTGTCAAATTGGATATACTTAAATAATCTAATATCTTATACGCGATATTGCCTCCCTTAAACGAGGATTCAAAAAAAGGGATGTATCGATTGATCATAGACATTTATTACAAATGATAGATATAAATTCTCGTATAAAGCAATAATGAAATTTACTCTTATTATAAATTACAAATGTGCGCTGCTCTGTAAAGTCGATGGAAGATCCTCGAAGAATATTTATCTAATAGATCCTTCACGTTAAATACAACATCCCTAAACCCGCGTCGTTCTTCGATCTTTCTTCCAGATCGCGTCCAATGAAAATCACGATTCGGTCACGATCCGATTGCAAGAAAAGGGGGTGGCTCGCTCTCTCGCGGTTGGGACGCTTCAAAAGCTTAGAAGTCCGGTGGAAACTCGAAAGCGCAGTAGATCGGAATGACGTTGACGGGAGTGTACGAGTGACTCGTTCCTCAAAGAGGGGGAGAGGGAGAAGAAAAGTCACTCGTCGTCAGTTGTGGTCCACCCTCGCGTGCAATCGTCCGCGCGATTTGCATGGTTGATAAAGCATGTGGCTCGCTCCGGCGATGGCTTGAATTACTTTTGCGAAATATTTGGCGACGTGCCGATAGGTAGAGGGTGGTCGGAAAACAGTGGTCAGGCGGGGATGGCGAGGGCGATCGGGACAGAAACGACAAAGGAAACAAAGCGAACGGCGTGACTGCGGTGGCCAATGGGAGTTCCGTGCGAGAGGACATCGGGACCGAATCAGTTTATGCGCGACAGGTTCTGGAAAGAGAGAAAAAGGAGCCGAAACCGGGAGAAAGGGGGAGGAACGGTGGTGGGTAGGATAGGCGGGGGACAGAGGAGGAGATGGAGGAAGAAGAAGAAGAAGATAGAGGAAGAGAGCCAGGGGCCAACCAGACTGTATAGTTTGCCAACTCTCCAACCTTCTCTGGTTCGCCGCCATGGAGAGACATTATTTACAACGGAGTCTTTGGTAGACAATGCTGGGGTACCCGCGGCCATCTTTCGTTCCTTTTCTGTTCTCCATATGCAACAGCATCTGCTGTTGCTTCGGCCATCCCATCGGCTCCTCTTCACAGCGACGAAGAAAAGGGAACAA